ATTTTGAATATTAAATATAAGTATCATTAGATGCTTTTAAAACAATGGTAAACCATTTTTTTTTTAAAGGGTAATTATATATTAACTAATATTTTTGTTTATTCAATAACTATTTAATTATTTCTTTGTTTTAAATTATTGTAGAACATTAAGACTACCTTTTTAAAAATTATAAACATGAATAATTTATGCTTTAATTTTAATCACAGCATGGTAATAATAATAAAACATTTCAAAAGTGCATATTTTATTGAATTTTTTTTGTTTATTTAGTATGTTGTGAAATTATTTTAGAATTTTTTAGGCTGAAATATATCTTTTTTTAGTAAATAAATATACATAATTTCGATTCAATTTGAATTTTGGATTAACCCTTTTTCTGCATGCAGTTTCTTTTAAATATAAAACTATGATATAGTGAATATATTTTATTCATATTTTAATAGTATTTTTTGTCCTATCTATATTAAACTAAAGAAAAATGACTCGTATTGTCAAAAAATATTTGTTTATATTAAACAATTAAATTATATCAAATTATTACAAACTTTAGAAAAATATAATATCAATTCTTAACTGATTATGAATTGAATATGAATGAAGCGTTCTGTCTACATATAAACAGAGTATAAGAACTAGTTATGCAAAGAAGAAACCATTGGAAAATATTTACGGTCATTTTGAAGCCATTAATTAAATAATAAAAGAAAAACATAAATAAATCTCCTAGTGAAATATATTCTGAATACAACAACTTCTAATTAAAGGATATTTTAAAAAAGACGGAAATTTATTAAATAAATACATATTAATAAAAAATGAATTTAATTATAACGTATGTAATTTATAGTATATATTAAAGGGAAAAAATATATTATAAACATAATAGTTATTTACTTAATGTAACATGCATTATGAGAAAAGTAATTAGAGTTAGAAGAACAAAATAAAAAAAAAACACCACAATATTCAGTAAATATGAATAAAAAATAATAGCTAATATAATATATATTCTTAAATTATTATCATATAATATATTCTGCTAGTGTTCATCATCACAACAAAATAATATATGATACCAAAAAAAAAAAAAAAATACATGTTACATAGGTACCAAAACAATAATATACTAAAAAATTAACAATAAATAGTAAGACATAATAACAGATGCAGGCATTAAACCATAAATATAATTCTAAAATATTATATATTTTGGAATTCTTATATATATAATTTTTACTATATGTTTATGTGTATGATAAAAAATATATATTCTAATTATAAAAATAATGTTTATTAATATAATAAATATATTCATTTCAAATTATTATTGTATTATTCGGAAAAAAATAATTCCTTGCGTTTTCATAGATGAATAATTATGTACAACAATACTTATAATACAGATATATATAACAAAAATGTTTCTTTGTGTTCCCTAATTAGAACTATTATATA